AAAACTTTCTTCGGGAAAATGTAGTCAAATTCTATATATATTGACTCGAATAAAATAGTTTTAAATACCCTAGCCGTTCTTCGTAATTAGACATATGCATGATATAATCGCGATTTCCTCAAAGGACCATGCATGCAGTCCTCAGGAAAACCGCGGATACTGATATCACTTTTGGCTTGGCTTTAATTAAGTTATAGTTATTTCCTACAGTACTGCTATAGACGTTATTAAAGTACTTCACTAGTGGATTGAACTTGATTTGGACGAAAACACTTCATCCCACTATAACGATAACGATCGTCTCGAGTACAGAAATTGAGACGCTCTCAGCTTGATCGTAAATGTTAAGTTCTAGAGCATTCAACCCATGAGTTTGATTCACGCTATAATCTATTAAAATATATTCGTCTTTTAGTTATATAAAAATTTAAAGTTGAGGTTCGAAAAAGCAGTACTGTACAACAGTATATATTTACAGAATTATCTTTATTTTGAGGCGCAATTCTCAATTTTAATTTATAAGTAGCTTGACACAAAAATTGTTCAGTATTTCTCACCTTGAATAATATCGTTCGTGTGAATGAAGTCCGATGATTATGTTCTACCGTCCTGCTCGACTTTGCCGCATCAAAGATTAAAATTTATTGCGTTTAATAAACCATATTCCATATGGGCTTGGTATAGCTATGATTGGTCAATAAAACTCTCATTCACATTCTCGACCAATCAGATCGAGTTTTACATAATGGGCAGGTGCAGCTGGATAGCTATTAAGTGAACAGCGTGATATCAATAAGTACAGTTTTATTCAATTTTGCTTATATATGGATGGCAGTAAAATATTAATATTGTTTTTCCATATTGCTTTTTTGAACAGCTCCCTAATTATTTAGAGCTGTGGCCATGCGATGTTTGGACAATTTCTAAAAGGTTCATGCACCAAATAATATAGAGAACTGTTAGGTTTCAGTATAGGACTTGCCATAAACTTTACGAGATTGATTTTCATTATATTTTCCAATCCGAGTATATTTATATTGAAATTGCCCACTTCAGGCATTAAATCGTTAAATGCGTAAATATATAATTATAATAAAAATGCAAAATTCAAGTAGAAAGCAGAATTTTAACATATAAATAGAGCAAGCTTCGATTGTTTCTTAATTTATCGTCTGCAGTAGCGTGGCCTGGCTATCTAGTCCTGCATGTATACTATATTTTGGTGTTTATTGACTGTGAAAACAATAAATAGCGAAACTAAATTGTCAGATTGGCAACGCCATGCACTACTTAAACCGCAGAAATTGGTGTTTATGAAGTTTCAAGCTGAAAATCTAATCACTGGTTCACAATTGTGCTTTTCTTTATCGCTATCAAAGAGAATACTATTGAACAACTTTGAAAAGTTCAATTTCTCCTCTGAATACGCATTCTGCAATCTTTTGGCAGCGCATCATACACATCTGACATCTGTCAAATGGCCATTTTGAGGTCTAAAGTGTACACAAGGTTATTATTTCAGACGATTCGTTTTTGCCGTGTACAAGCTTCAAATCTTTTGTGTAAGACATATTTTGTTGAGTATTTATAAATCTTTTTCTCACCAAGTCTGAAGCCTGAGTAGTGAGAATTGCGGCTAAGTACGTACTGTATGCATGTGGCGCAAAAGGTATTGCTCAGAAATACACGTTCATGCATTCAAACTAAGATTTCATGAATTATATATGTTTGACCGGGCTATTAACATTTGTTTTATTAAAACGAATTCTAAAAATTAGAATAAACAGCTTACGAGATTCACTTTCACTTAGTATATAATACTGATATAATATCTCGCTTTGTGCATTGTGTCATCTGTGTGTCATGATGTATCGATAACGTTTTGTATTTTTATAATTTTCCAAACTGCATCGATAGCGCTGTAATAAATATTTCGCTAAAAGTGACAATGTTGTACATATTAAAATCTAAGTCAGACTTGAACGAATGACCGATTATCATTAGTATTTCAGAGCGTTAGCCGCGAAGGCCCGAAAAATTATTTACACTTGCAATTTTTACTGCGATCTGTTTCTTTTGATAGATGTAAACGATTGAATTAGTTACTGATGTTGAAATAAGAGCTCTTATACTTCAGAGCAATCGGAACTATAATATACTCTTTCACATCTATCAAAAGAAGAAAATCGCAGCAAAAATGTAAACGGTAAACAAGCCTTCTTCAGACAGTTCTAATATGTTTGATGCGAATATAAAAGGCGTTGCTACACTGCAGGAGCTCATTGCTCCATGGTTGTATTAATATTAATCGAACGTGTCATAATCAGGAGCAGACTGCATGTCCAGCAAATTTGACATGGTTATACGCCAGGAGAGGCGCGTATTTTAGCAAGAATTTGAAAAACTCGTTGTCAGATCTATTCTTAGTTACGAAGATAAAAAGCTGGTGCATGGGTCTGAGAGAGTGCCCTATATGACCATTAAGTGCCCATCAGTGGATCGAGATAAGATTTACATTTACATCTCTGCGGGAGTAGAAGGCAATTACGGACAGGCTGTTTTGCAACGTTTTGGACTTTTCGTTTCAGTTCGTTTGATTTTGACCGATTGGCTTCGTTTCAGAAAAGGGAGTTTAAGATGACACAATGTGCAATGGTTCGTCTTCAGTTAAATCTTTTCCGGTATTTAAAATGCTTTGACTGAGCCAAAATGCGTATTCTAGGAATTTCTGGAAGGATTCTGTTTACTCTTTCCCCTCACCCCTTCTCATTTGACAAAATATAAAGCCGATTCTTTAAATTATTGGGAGGGGGAGCGGTGCCCTCCCCTTTCCGGCGTCATTGATTCCTAGAAGTAAACTTTCCACCGAGAGCATCTGGACTTCAGCATCCCAAGCGTATTTTTCTGTCGTAAGAGCAGATTAAAAAACGTGGTACTGAAATTGACTTTGCGATGTTACTGATTATACAGAAAGATCAATTAATACTACACAATAGAAAGATAAAAATTGCGAAACACAAGACAAGCATCAAGACAAATTTGAAATGACAAGTAATCAATGTTTGGAAACATAAAACAATTAAAAACTATGTGCCGTAGCCAACCGTTCGTTTAATGTTTCTCGTCAGTCCAACGGATTGTCCAACGTGGCATGTATTTAGGATGATATCTCCATAAGTCTCTTGCATAAAATTTCTAAAGGCAGTGTTACACTATATGCAACTTTTCTTGCAACTTGCAATGCAACTCTACTCCTGAGCCATCTAAAGTTGACAAATACGAACATTTCTAACGATCTGCTAACGTTTTCTTTGCATTTCTTCACAAATTAACATCCCTCAAAATTATATTTGCATCGCAAGTTGCAAAGAAAATTGCTCAGTGTAACAGCGAGACTTAAGAAACCAACCGTTGATTATTAATAGCTATTGGGGGAGGAGACTAAAAAGAAGATGCTGGGGTAAATGGAAAAAATAGGAATGTACGGGATTTTCATCATAAATAATGAAATCAAACATGAGCTGAATAATCTGTTAAGTCATCCATCAAGCGACTGACATTAAGCGTGGTTTTCATATATCGTAATTCATCGGCGATGGCTATTGTCGGTGCATGGTCATTGATGCATAAAATCCTTTGTCTATCGAAGAAAATTATATGCTTCATTGATCACCGACAGTAGATCGTGATGATGAATTACGAAATATGAAAACCAGGCTTAAAGGTATAGTTATAACCAAGCTCTTTGCCGCTCAGCACTCTAAGCTCACAAATATTATATTATGGTTAGCTCACAAATATTATGCTTGTTATTAAATAGTTGACGGTGGTGGAATTATTTCATCAAATGGAATTTACGAAACCTTTCAAAACTCTTCAGCCCCCTATCCCTGACATGAGCAAATTTCTTGCCCCAGAGCAGAGGCCAGATAGCCTCCAACATTTTATTCCAATGTCCTTTTTAGTCTCTTTTTTTTATGTATACACAACCGGCTTGACTCTAGCAGTTTAATTATTAAGCGTAATCTGTTATTCAAGTAGTTTGTGGTGATTTTTCGTTCTATAGATAAATTGGGCGAAGATATATGTTACATACCGACTCGATTTGACTGTTCATCCAAATTTACTGTGCATTATATTAACTGTGCATTTTACATCGCGTGAACTTGGGTAGATTTTCTATTTTTTGGCGAACTTGGTGAAACAAGACACGCATTCACTTATTCACATAAGTAAAAGCAGCTGCTCAGTCGTGGAGTGACTTATTTAAAGTATATATTATTGTTGCTCGAATGATTGACACGAATGAAACGAATATAGATTAAACCGTTTAACGGAAAAAAAGCCATCTGCATGACAATTCGCCTGAAAACTACGTGATTGTGCACTTAGATTAAAAATACTGATATAAGCGTGTAGCAATATTATTGTGCAGTCAAGAGTTTTAGTAAATATACAAAGTCAAGTTGTTCCGGAAAGTCAAAACGCAAAACCAGCGGCGTAGCCGCCAGCATCGATAAGCGTTTAAGTGCTCAGGAGGGGATATTTATATAGCTATACTCATGTTTGCTGAACGTAAAGCCTATCCATTCCTATTTTTTGCGGTCACTGGTAAAGTAAGGAATTTCGTTTGGTCGAAAATCCCGCCTTGTGGAAAACCACCCATAGCTAGACTTTCTTTTCAAAGCGACAAATTTCGATCGTTAGGACAATTCCTAGGCAGAATCTTGCAAAGGCAAACGCTCTTTAGGAGTTTTGCAAAACAGCGATTGTGATAAGAAATTAATCTTAAAATAGATTTAAGATATATTTTATAGTCAAGTGTGGTTGTCGAGAATTCGTCCCGAGTACGCTGTGATTTCATGAGATTTCGCGATTTTGACATTATTCCAATTTTGATTACTGTAAAAACAAAACAAAACAAAATATGTGAAATCATCTCAAAATCTAAGAATATATTCTGAAACTAGATTAATTATTAATTTTTATATGATTCAGGATTCATTATTTAAAACACGTTGATGCAAATTACATACGTAAATAGCGAGACAATTGATTCCTTTTATAGCTAATTGCTAGTTTCAGATTGAATTCAAAAGTCAAAGATAATTGTTTGCACTAACAATTTGTTACGCAAACGCATTTGCACAAAAGATCGAAAGATACATATGACTGTAAGATTATAGGAAAAGCAAAGGTATTCGTGTATATTAAATTTAGTTTTTTCGTCTTTTAAAATCTGTATAAATATCTATTTACAATGTCTTGCTTGTAACTTCCATTGATAGCTTTACAGGAAAACTGTTTTGCTAAATATGGGCATGCTTATCACCAGTTATCGCTCCAGTTTTACTAGAGTTTACCGATACGTTCTCGTTAAAAAACGGCAATTCTGGCAAATTTTGACATTTTTCTATCTCAATTTCTTTCTGCTGGTTAGATAAAAAAGTCCCTCGTTAATACTTCAGCGGGAGGAACGTTGCGTAGCTGAGAAGCCGCATTTTTCACTTCCTATGCTCAATAAATATGTAAATAAACACGTAAAAATTTAGCAATAATTTATGTTTTTGCCTGTCCTCTACTGTCTTTTCTTGCAGGTGATTTTCCTGCGGCTGGACTAACCTCCCTCGATCTAGATTCTTTTCTTGATACATGCAACCCTTGAACGGTATTGTCCGATGTTTTCCGACTCGCACCAGGCCGCTGCCCTTGTGATGTCCTTGTTGGTGACATCATCGGGCTCGCATAACGTGACCTCGAATCTTTCCTGGAAACGTGCGCACCGGAAGCAGCAGCCTGCGACACCTTCCGTCCGACGGGTGACGTCGCCGGGCTAACTTCACGTGACGACCTCCGACTCGGTTCCGCTCCTTTGCTGCCGGAGCGACGCCTTCCTGATTCCGCGACGCTGGTTCGCTGTGTCTTTCGTTGCGAGTCTCTTTCTTGTTGACGCCGTTTGCGAGTCTCCTGTCGTTCCTTTTCTTTCTCTTGTGCTTTGCGCTTCTCTTCGGCTTCCTCCGCCTTTCTTTTTTCCTCCTCTTCCGCCAGCTTGGCTCGTTGCTCAACGCATGCTCTTGCTTCTTCGATCATGTTCGTTGCCTAAAAACAAAACATAGAGAGTGAGATCATCACGTCGTGATCTGAGATCATCACGTCATGAGGTGCTTCTACAAAACTGAGTTACTATGTGTGGAGTTATTTGCACCCATTCTTCCTGCTACTAGTATGAAGGGCGCAAGATTAAAATTCTAAACTACAATTGACTGAAAAACGAAGAATTTCTGCATAAAAATAATACAATTACTCAAAATCTTCAAGTGCCGAAGTCATAAGAAGGAAATGATCATTCAGTTTTGTCGAAGATCTGGCTTCTGATTGGTTGATTTCTGTGCTCACGTCAGCTGGCTAATCCAATACAACTACGTTCAATAATGCCGGGGTTTTTTTTAGTCCTAATTGTCGTGAGAACAATTGTCATTGTCATCCCCGGTTGGTGCGATCTTCTTCTTTTCATAGATGCGAACGAGTGGATAAGTTCAAATCACTTATATGAATTTCTGACTATTCTCTCGTTTGCATCTATGAAAAGACGATATTTCCACAGAAATCACAGCAAAAATAGCGCAGTGTAAACACCTTATAACTTTCCTTACCCAAACATAAAACGTCGCGGCACCAGCGCTCACGTCTCTGATGGTATCCAGCTGATGCTGCTTCAAATACTCCTTCTCAGCGTAATCGGCAGTGGAGTCACTAACTTTGAGAGGATCTAAAGTCGTGACCTGCCTCTTCAGCCCTTCCTTCCCAGTTTTCCCAAGCAAGGCTTGCAGGTTCTTCCAGTTCTTCAGCGGTTTTTCTGTGTATCCCAAAAGCAGATACGTCGCAATCATGACCTGGTGTACGGCCTCTGGCGGCTTCTGGTAGCTTCGGATTTCCGATATGGTGCTTTGCTTTAGCTCGAGGATCTCCTGACGTATCCTCTCTAGTCGCCTCAGCCGATTTGCCAATCTTTCACCCTCGCTGAGTTCCACGCTGTAGTACTGCTCCAATCCCGCTTGTTTCACATCTTTTATAGCCTTTTCTAAATGTTCTAGATTCCTCCCCTGACAAGCCTCTTTTAGACTCTTCCCGAGTTGTACTTCCTCTCGAGTCTTTTCTGCTTCTTGAATAGGCGCTTTTAAACCTACATGGAATTAACGATAAAAAACCTTTAAACCTTGCAAGGCAGACTGGTAGGAATAAATAAATCATTTCACCAGTAAAATCGCTAAACGAGTGCAAATTATCACTATGCGAGTATCTGGAGCACAGAATAGCACTACTTTGTCAAATACTGATTAAACTGGTTCATAAAACATGCTGAGCACAGTGCCCTTGTTGAGTACTACCACTGCAGGTAGTACCCGTTCTTGGGCACGGTGCCTAATTTGATTTGGAAGCGCTATGCTCGACTTAAGCCCCGTTTACACTACATTCGATTTATTGGCACAACACGGCTAAAATGTGTACCCGTACCCATTTCATCTGTGCTCGGCCTTTGTTATGGTAGCCAGAACACTAATAAAGTTGGGTACGGGTACCAATTTTAGCCGTGCCGTGCCGATAAATTGAATAATTGAGTGTAGGGGTTATAGACGTCAGAAAAAGTGACGGGGACGGTGCTGGGCACTCAGTCAGAACGCAGCCTAAATCATCATACTTGGCATTTTAGCTTCTTTGGCCGTTTTGATAGATTTATCAAGCTTTTCCAGCTTTCTCGACTTCTGAGCAGCTTTAAGAGACGCTCGATGTTTCTTCTCTTTGTTGGCCTGGGCTTCAGCCAAGGCTTTCTTCTCCGCCTCTTGGGCTGCCTTACGACTTTCCTCGTCCTCGGCCTGTTATAAGGAGAAATGAAGGTTTGAAATGGCAGTATACGTATATGTTCACCTAATATGAAAGAACCCAGAAGAACAATTTTCAGTTGAGCAATGCCTTTTGACAGGTCACTTTAGAAAGTAGTTCGGACTTTAAGATAATTAAGTTTATTTAGTATAGATACAAATTCATACGAATCATACGAATTTATTACTACATCTAGAGAAAGCATGTTACTACAGCTAGAAAAACTGGAAAGTTTAGTCGCAAAATACGTAATTGAAGGGTGTGAAAAACATCGCCTTTTGTAATTTTGTATGAATATGCCATGACAGAGAATCTGAGTTTACCTGCTTGGCAGCTTCAGCAGCTAATCTTGCGGCTTCAACGGCCTCTTCTTCTGCCTCGGCCGCATCGTCTGCTATCTCTTCTGCCTGATCAGCCTCAGCATTCTCTAGCAACTCTCGTTCGGCACGTTCTAAAAACAAATAAGTGTATAACAAATAAGTGTATAAGGGATTAGTAAAGCACCTTCTTCATGACTCGTAGACAATCGAGGATGCTGTGTGATCTATTGCGAATGATCAATGAATCAGAAAATCTCTTTTGACGGACAAAGCATTTAGTGCAAACAAGGAAGAATTTCGTTTTAGACCAATCAGCGAATTTGTTTACATTTTTTGTTGCCCAATCACAATGCATAAACATTGACGATTTCACCAGGCTCAAAACGCTGTATAGTACTGAAATCATTCAAAAGTTCTGTATAAACATTTTGTTCGGCTCTATCCTGAACTAATACTGAAAGATAAATGAACAATATACAGCGTATAATCCTACAGAGCTCTTAGAAAGTAAATTAAATTTCATTTTAAGACGTAGCTATAATTACGTAGCCTACCTCTTTCCAATCTCTCTCGATCTTCCTCTTGTTGACGCAGCAACTCTTCTTTCTTCCATTTTTGGCTTGCTTCCTGTTCTTCTATCTTCCTCATTTCTTCCGCCATTTGCCTCTGTATTTCTTCCTCTTCGCGAATTTTTTCCTCTTCTGCCTTTTGACGAGCTAGTTCCTCTTTCTTGCGAGCAACCTCTTCTCTCCGCCTTTTTTCTAAAAAGTGAATATCGTAGTGTTACTGGTCACCTTGAGCTGATTGTAGAAAAGTTGGTTTGCTCTATCTAGGATAGCTGGGCGTTTTTTTTAAATCTCTGTAACTCTAAAACTACCCGTTGTTCGGTATAACTTTGATTCTACTCGATGACTTATTTTTTACAGACAATGCGTTTTCTAAAAAAATCCATCCGGCAGGACTGAATACAATATGAATAAGCACCTGCCAATTTATTATCGGGGTAGTTGCGGCCCTGATTACCATTAATCAATATACTGTATACATATGTACACAGTGACCACCTGTAAGCGCCTAATCACTTGATTTTTGTATCAGTAAACAATTACAATACACTAACTACAGCTAAACAGACTTCATCCTGTGCATATTACAATGGTTTGTGCAGTTCTAACTGGGCATTCTGTTCCAGTCGCGGCAATAGAATCGTTCCGAAAAATATATTATATTTATCAGTTGCTTACGGATGAGTTCAAATATAACCAGGGAGCAGCGTGGCAGCGTCTTCAAACAACTGAGCATCAAAATGAGTTTTCATACTAACTCCCTGACGAAGGCCCTCAGATCGAAACGTCGAGAAGTGTTTTGTTTATTTTAGGCAGTTGTTATACCACATTTGATGCCAGATTTGATGCTAAGTTGCTTACGGAGTTCATGATAATAAATAAATAGGCGCATATGATTGGTCAATTCGAGACCGGAAGTTAGGAGTTTTTCAAATATTTAACGCCGTAATCCAACTTATAAATTTCAGAAAATGGGTTGCTTGATTAGCCGCGATTGTAATATTGAATTACTTCTGCAGTTCTGTGTTCCAATATTCTATTCACTCTTTGTAAGTAAACTTACCTTCTTCTTGAGCTTTACCTAAAACGAATATTACAGCATTATAAAATTATAATGATATTTAGATGCAGAAAAACATTCTCCTAAAGGTATGACTCAATTTTGTTTGATTTTCAATATGCTTTTTCATACGTTTCTCTTTCTTAATTTTTTCATCTTCCTTTTGCTTGAGTTGTTTTTTTCTCTGTTCATTCTTTTCTTTCTCCTTTTTCAATCTACTTTCTTCAGCTTCTTTCTCTAAAACAAAAGATGTAAAACAACATTAACAGCAATCGCACACAGCAACAGTTTCAACAAAACTTCATCAATTCATGAGGATTAGTTACTAATTACAACTGTAAATACAATATATAAGATGTGAATAATTGTGAACTACTTACTTACCTTTCTGTTTTAATTCTTGTGCTTTTTTCATTTTTTCCTCCTCTTCATGAATTTTTGCTTGTTGTGCCCTTACCAGTTCTGCATTTTTGAACAAAGTAATTTTAAAAACATTAAAACTACCTTTCAATGTCTATAGCTAAATACCTCTGTTAATAAGGTTACCAAGTTACAACTGCCACTTTATTTTATCTCAGCATACCATTATAATAAAGCATCTTTATCTTGTTAATATGACTATCTTGGTGAGATATTTTTTTACACAGTGCAAATTTTTCTTGCAACTTGCAACGCAATTCTACTTTTGCGAGATGTATATTTGGGAACAACAAAACTTTTGTGTTTATTACGCTTCATGCACTTTTATTCTGCAGGACTCTTTGACACTAATTTGCATCTCTTAGAAGTAGAATTGCATTGCAAGTTGCAAGAAAACGTGCACTGTGTAACATGGCCTTTAGGCAGCCGTTTTAACAACTTGTCACTATATAGATTCAATATAGTCCACTTAGTTTTAAATATGTAGAGACTCTATAGCATGCAGCAGTTACTAATATAGTAAAGTATAAGTGGAACCATGGCATTCTGTTCAAGTACAGAGTTGCTCTGGACAGAATCCCAGAACCAACAGCAAATCTTAGCATATAATATTATCTTACCAATGTAGTAATTTTATTGCTTTATTGATTTCAGGTAAACATAAAATTGACTGAATAAAACTCACTAGAAGAGGCCTAGTTACCTGTGAATTCATAAAAAAGCCAGACAACATGAGCTCCCATGTAAAGTAGGCTACCGACATTTGTATGCAATATTGGTCAACATGAGGTGAGTTTCATTATAGTAAATCAGTCAGCACTTGATAGTGTGTTCATACCACAATAATTTGTACCATTGTTTCCTGAGTATTGTAATAATGAAGAGCTATTTGGCCTTACAACATAATTACATACATGGTACATTTGCCAATAGGTCCATTTATCCTCCTAGCTGTGAGGTTGGATAAATAGATATGGATGTAATTCTTTAGGGAATAGAATTATAGTGGGGTATCCCTATTGGATCTCCTATGGCAATGGAATTCTGATGCACTGTCGGAATTAACTCCTATTCAATTCCTTATAGGATTCCCTATAGGAATAGAAAATTCCTTTATAATAAGAAATCCTATAAAATTTCAGTTAGTTTCTATAGGATTCTCTATAGGAACATATTCCCCAGAGAAGGGGCCATGGCCAGTTCACCCAAAATCATTGGTGAATCCAGCATTGTTATTTTGGGGGAGTACCAAAAAGTACCAAAAAACACTCATGATCAACAACATTATAGTGTCATATATGTGCATTTCAAACCTGGTGTTGATTGATTAAATTATCGTCACAGTTTAGTACAGTAATATACAGGCCCGGAGTTACGGGGGGGTTTGGGGGGGTGTCATATCCAATATCCTGAGGACGGCCCTGGTAATATAACTTTTGGACCCTTAGTGTTAACGAAACTTTACAGGGGTGTGCACCCTAGCTTGTAAACCCCTGTAAATCCACCGGCACCACCACCTGAAATTACAATTTGCCAGTTACAAACGCTCTTGCTTACCTTCACGTTCTTTCTCCTCCTCCTTGGCATCTTGCTCCAGCCATTGAGCGGAAGGTATATTACAGAGCTCAACTTCGATCTCTGCAAAGCTGATTCCACTTCCAGGTACACGACGGGTTTTGAGGAACTCTAGCCATCGTCTGTGCGAGAAAAACTCGTCGTACACGGCTTGAAATAAGAACCTGGCATCCTTTTCGCTTATTGTACCGCATTGTTTTCCGTCCAACATAGCGAACTCCCACTGCAGGTCCTTCACAAGAAAATACCGTCGATCCATCTCGTTTAAAACGTCGAAAAATTCATAAATATCGCAAGTTTCGGAAGCGCAAATCTCTGATATGGCTGCTTCGGTTTGACGAACGCTGATGCCTCCAGGCCGGAGGGACGCGTGAACGGCCTGCAGTTGCTCGGCGTCGAGTTCCTCGGTGCCATTTCTGTCCGCATCGTTGAATATTTTTTGTAAAAGCTGGTCTTTGCTGACCAAATCGAACAAGAACGTCATTTTTGCCATGTTTTGGACTTGTTCTTGTTTACGTTGGTTACGCGAGTATTTCCGAAGGCCTGGTTACAAGAGCTTAAAAAATAAAAACATTCAGCGAACGTGCACCTATTGTCCATAATTACAATCATATCACAATGAACTTTCTGTAAGAAAGTCCCAAATCTTAATAAATATTTACCTGAGGATGTACAGGGTGTCCCAAAAAAAACGAAAACTATTGAAATCACTCATTGTTAAAATTTGAATGCCGTGTTCACGAATTTCAGCCCGTGGGGATTTATTGCAACTTGTAAAATGCCAAATGCTTTTTGCTGCTAGAGAAAGGGGACATGTCGAAGGACATGGTCCTTGAGATGGACATTTGAATAATGTTATCATATTTGTAAATTGTAAATACTGTTAATAAATATCATTTTCGCGAACAAGCAAATTTGACTGCATCATGATGCATGCATAAAAATGCTTATGGCAACCCCGATTTATACACTTGTGGGCCCAACAGAGTGCTTAGGCATTCAAACTCTAACAATGGCATTGTTATGGGTGATTTCAATAGTTTTCGTTTTTTTTGGGACACCCTGTATATTGTAATGATTAGGTTTGTAGCTGTTTTGTGTGATAGTGTTCCCTATACGTGCATATGACTATACCTCATCGAACGTGCATGTGGCTATACGTCATCGAATACATCGAATAATCTCGCTGTTTGGTCAACAGCATATTAAATAATAGGTAAAAACCGTTGAAAACCGTCAATGATCTCGATGAACGGTCCAAATGGGAAAAATCAATCGCAAACAGGGCCCGAAAAAAATTTTCTTTTTGACTGAAATAGTATTGTTATTATTTTTTATCAGTCAGTTCAAAGTACATTTTCCAATGTAAATTCCCGCCGAAATTTTAATGCTGTATTTCCTTACAGTTTTTCGTTTGAGATGTACAATGTCTACGAACAATACAATATCTGTTTCAGTTGAGATATTCAATGCTGAATATAAACTTTCTCCTCTCGATGACAAGTAAGTTGTTTTGATTTCGTAACCAAAACAACACAGGTATAAGTAAATATGCGAGCGACTCATTTCCCTTAAATCCTCACACACCTGCCGATTAGCGCTCACGCCCTGTGAACAACTAAATGAAGATGCACTTCGGAAGATATATGTCGAACTACCTTGGGAATGGCGGCGGTTGTTTAAATTTATTAACCCAGGAGATTACAGGTTAGCTGACCTTTTATTATAACAGTTATTTCATACTCTGAATTTTTCATCATATTTTACCTATTTTAATTCAAGTGCATATTTATTAATATGTGTATATGTGAGTAATGTGACCTTGTTACCGACCATTCAGCGAATTTCGCCCGCAGCAAAATGGATTAAGTAAGATTGTGAATTACGCGTTAGCACTCGTTTCCATTCGTCAGAATGATAGTGCATGAACTAATGGTATAGTCTAAATTAATAGGCCTTTTAATAAATCTTGATCTAATTTGGTTAATTAAGCGTATAAAGCTTTTTTCTTTTACGAAATTTAGCTACCGAAATAATTGATCAGTGTTTAGTTTTCAAAATTCTAAATATAAAGAGCATCTTATTAAAAAACTAATAACGATGTTTAGGCTTCATCACTTCCATGTACTCTATTAAGTAAATAGTAGTAGCGATTAATAAATACACATGTCTCAAGTCTCAACAATCTCACTTGTTATAAAAGCTGTTAAGAAAAGCCACCTGTCAGATAAACCGCGGTAAATCTTCAGTTATGTGACTTCTCATTGGAAATTAATGTTTAATTTTCAACATTGCTTTACAGAGACGAAGAATGGTGTTCTTGTGTTCCAGAGCCTTGACGCTAATTCCCATCCTCCTGACGACTCCTTTACCGTCAATGATTAACGCTCAGTTGTCAAGTGAGTCACAGACTATCTAAGCCCCCTTTACCCTAAACTCGATTAATCGGTACGGCACGGCTAAATTAAATGAGTACCCGTGTCCATTTTAGCCGTACCCGGCCTTTGTTTTGGTAACTTGAGCACAAATAGAATTAGGGACGCGACGACGCGTACCAATTTTAGCCGTGCCATGCCTTGGTATTTTTTGCGCTTCAACTTTTCGCGTTTCAGCAAATCCGTTTTGGGTATGATTTTCTCCCTTAGCTACAAATTTCCTCAAAGCAATTGACGAGCCGATCGCAAATTTTCTGAACGCACGAGATTTTGGTGTGCTGGGCGATGGCATCACGGACGACTCTCGTGCGATCCAAACATTTGTGAACAATGCTTCGCTCCATCGGAAAATTGCTTTTTTTCCTTCTGGGGAATATATCATCAGTCAAAATATCTGGATCGATGGTAGTGTTAGCATTCAAGGCTCTTCGCGTGGAATAACCGTGTTGAAGACCCCACGGACGAAAATCCTTCAAATATACTTTGGAAACAAAAGGCACGGCTTGAGAGATCTCAGCATCACACATATATTCTTTGACGGGATCACGTTGTATTTCAGCAGTAAGAGATTCAAGCACAATTTTCGCCTGGCGAATTGTCTGTTCTTCACCAGTCGTCAGCCATTGCTTCCCATTAAGAAGAAAGCTAGCATCGTTTGGCAACGTGTCGCAAACGGTATCATAAGCAATGTGGTTATATTGCGTTCCAAGGCTACCCATGCGGTCGGCGTGTCCTTTTACAAGACGAAATACGTGCGAGTAGAAAGCTGTATTTTCGGTCTCAATTTCAACAACCTGACCTGGTTGACTACCCAATATCAAGGTATTAATACTTGGACCAGTTTGATCGAGAAACTTCATTTCACTAAAGGGCACTATAGAATCACCTCCGATCAGGGACGCTTCCAAGCAGCCTTGTATGGAAACCGTGACGACAACCTCACAATCAAATTGAATATCTTCAACGGTAGCCCGTACAAGTCGGGTTTTATTGATCACGTGATTTACCTGAAAGGTTTCGACGGCCTGTACGTTTTGGGCAACTACGCCCGCGGATGGCCGAGCACTGCCGCAGGTGGTTTTAAAATGCGAAACGGAGAGAATTTGGTCGTGGCACGAAACTACCTCGTTGACACCGGGATCCTCTTGTACACCCATAAGGAGATCAATTTTGATCCACTTCACCAAGGCCTATCGAACGTTTATATCTATGGCAATCACTTGGTTGAACTAACTAATATTGGGAAATGGGGGACAGGAATAAGCTACTACGAACCACATTGGTTTGGCGACGATACAAACGTCAACTTTTGTCGCAACACATTCGAGATCAGCAATTTGAATCTCACGTCTCCACCAATAGGAATTCACATCTCTAACGGTGACAAGGAGGAGCATCACGTGTTCAAAGATAACGTATATTTTGGTACAAAAATTCCGGTAAAGTTGTTCGCCATGGATGATACAGAATACGAAGATGGCACATGTGACCAAAGGATGGTGTCACGGTACCAAGGCATCCTAATTCCGAACTTGGTGATTCCACCATATTGTAACCGAAAGACGTTTCTAGCTGATTGTAGCCTATAACGCCACATTGGCTGGATTTGACTTGATTTCAAACTTTTGTGTGAAAAGGTGTATTTTAGCCATCGGGGGAGACAAATTTTCTGTGACACCGGTCATTTTTTCACCTTGCCGATTTTTTTTTTACTGGATTGGGCGCATGCATTATTGATAATTCATTATACAGAAATTATTCTAAGTTCTAACTAAGGGTTTGTTATTATAGTTAAATGATATTCACTGAGCTGCGAATACTTGGTTTAGTATACTTACAAAGGTGATTATTTAAGAAAACTAATCTGTTTTAGAAAATTAATTTCGTTCGAAAATAAAGAGATTCCATGCATAGCCAGTTGCCCGGGATATGGTTTTCATAAAACATAACTTGATTCGTCGTTATTCACATGTCATAATTAGTTGCAATTCGATGTTAGGGGAGGTAGAAATCCTGATTTTCTGCAAACATTTTTCGTATGCATTATACATAGTTTGCCTTTTTAAAATTCCCCCAGGCCTTAATTTCCCTACCTTTACTTTGCCAATGCCACACCCCTGCCACTGGATGATATATTTCCTACGCCTAACCTTGTTAGCGACTATTTTTTAATAACGAATTGTTTTATTGTAAATGACAGCTGTCGTTTTAGACAATATAATATATTATACGTTTTAAATTTAACAAATATGAAATATTACACTACGCAAACCGTCTTATACGATTGTTACCCTGGCGTATGGGATAATGGGAACGTATAATCACGCGCATACTGTTTTCAAATTTTCAACCCTTTTTACCAAAGTGGACATGATTGTACATTGCCTGGCACTTCTTTCCATTTGCGAATTTGCCCCGAAAGATAACTGCTTACAATTAACCGTATGTGGTATGGTTTATATAACTTTTACGCGAAAATAACAGCAGGAAATGATACTTCGCATTTCAATGCCCCCAAAGAATGCTTTTGAGGTGTAAAGTGGCATGTGTTATGTATGTATGTCATACATAACATAAGTTTTAAGCATCATATTACAAAGCAAATTAGCTCGACGTTTAGCTATCGACTCTCGAAAATTACCTAGACTCAATCCTGCAGGCTGGCCGCTTAATAGAGGTAAGAATTGATATAAAACATCATTTGGGACTGCTCTTTGGGTGGCCGCGGCCGCCTAATAGAGGTGGCCGTTTAATAGAGGGATAGTTAATAGTATTTGTATTACAAAAATTTCGGGACTTCGATATGTGGCCGTTCAATAGAGGGTGGCCGCTTAAAGGCTAGTTTCTGGCCACTCAGAAAAAATCTCCTTTGGATCGGAACGGACAGGAAAATTTCCTTTGTCGGTGAGTTCTCAGGCGGCGTTTATACAAAGGAAACTTTCCTGTCCTGTCCGATCCAGAGGAGAATTTTCCTGAGTGAAAACTAGCCTTAATGGAGGGCCGCTTAATGGAGGTTCGACTGTATTTGCTAAGAAATCCTGCTTTATATAATAATGAAATACTGATTAAAGCAGCGACACCATAAAAGTTAACTGGACATTAAAGTTAACTGAAGTTAATATGAAGAGATGTAAAAAAGCTGAGATGTAAAAAGAGATAAAAAAGCTTGATCATGCAATAACGATCGTGTAACGATCTTTTTTAAAATTTAAAATCAATTACACATTTATACACCAATTAACTTGTTGTTATTTCGATAGTTTCCAGTTGTCAAAATGCTATCTTCTCAGTTCTCACATTTTAAAGTTTGCTGATCACATGATTCGAAACCAAAGTTCGAGTTAACCGGATATATTCGACCAAGGGAAAACACAATTTATTCGAATTAGCGAGGAGTTCGAGTTAAGCCAGTTCGAGTTAAGCGGAGTAAATTACTATAAAGAACATTACCAAATCTAAGGGGAATTGGATTTAGTTCGAGTTAGTGAGGAGTTCGAGTTAAGCCAGTTCGAGTTAAGCGAAGTAAATTACTATAAAGAACACAATTCCCCTTAAATTTAGTTTGAGTTAGTGAGGAATTCGAGTTAAGCGAGTTCGAGTTAGCGGGGGACAACTGTAATTTGATTAATTAAGCGAGGAAGCGTTACAAAGCTTTTTTTTCTTCTACTAAATTTATTTAAGTAAAATAATTGATTATATTTCATGCTTGGCTTTTATGATCAAAATTCAATTAAAGCGCATCTTATTAAAAACAAACAGCGATGTTTAGGTTTCATTATTTCTATCTACTCTACCATTGTTTTGCGTCTATTAATTATTAGTAGCTATACCGCAATTACCAAATACACAAATCTCAACAATCTCCCCTGTTATAAAAGCTGTTCAGAAAAGCCACTTGTCAGATAACACCGCGGCGAAGGCCTTAAAGATACTCTCAGGTATATTTTCAATTATTATACATAGGCGATGTGACTCCTGCCCGCTTGGGTAGTGTCGCAGCTCGTCGCATGAATGATTTTCATTGGCTCAACTTCACAATACATTTCTGTTCCAACCAATAGCATAGCTTCGTTCTTTAGAAAGCATAGAAAAGCACTATCCAATTGGACGAAAGCTTCTGAGAGCTGCGACATGGCTTGTATATATTTCTCATGTAAAAATTTATGTTGATTTAAAACTGCCTTACAGTGACGAAGAATGGCGTTCTTGTCTGCTAGAAGCTTAGCGTTTTCCATTGGATTTATTCTCGTGACGACTCCTTTACGATCAATGATCAACGCTCAACCAAGTAAGTCTCGGAGGGCTCCAGCTATAACATAATATTCACTATTTAAATACATATTCTAAATATTTCTAAGAAAAACTATACTATTCTACTGACGATTAAACGCGTTTTTAAAAACGGATGTTTTTAATTGTTTTTTAAAATTTCTAATGTTTTCACTTCGTCTGATTTCTAATGGCAAAGTGTTCCATATTCGGGGAGCGGCAGACATAAAAGCTCTGTTTCCAACAGTCTTCAGTTTAGTAACAGGAACTTGAAGGAGGTTTTCATTATCTGATCTTAGATCGTATTTGCTGGGCAGTTTTAATGTCAGTAGCGCCGAGATATAACTAGGAGCACCACCATTAAGAGCCTTATAGACCAGTTGAGCAATTTTAAAATCGATTGGATACTTGACAGGAAGCCAGTGAAGTTTGATTGAAATTGGTGGGGTTTTTTTGGGGGGGGGGTCTTGTACTTTGGGAAACAAGCCTTGCTGCAGCATTTAAAACTCTTTGGAGTCTTTGAAGTTGGTACTGAGAGACTCCAACTAAGAGGGAATTACAGTAGTCTAGATGGGACGTAACAAAGGCATGTATTAAAGTTTTCGTCGAGTCCATCGATAGAAATTTTCTTAGTTGGCGTATGTTATACAGCCCTCTAAATGCCTTGCTGCAGACTTTCCCAACGTGCATGTGTATTCATAGACATGTAGTTGTCAAACCATGAACCTAAGTTTCGGACTTTTTCTACGGGTTTGATATCAACGCCTCCAACTTTAACAGAATCAATCTGAATCTTTGAGAGTTGTTGTCGAGTACCGATAATTAAGAATTCCGTTTTAGAGTCTTTAAACATCAATTTATGAGTCAGCAACCAGGAACGTATGTTGGCAATACATTCTTCTAATGCCATTATTGCCCGGATTTCTGCTATAGAAGATTCAGGGCGGAAAGACATGTAGAGCTGGCTATCGTTAGCATAACCATGAGCAGTAGATAGGTGCTTACTAACAACGTCAAATAACTGGGATCTTTACAATAAAAAAAGGACAGGTCCAAGACAACTTCCATGAGGTACTCCATGGTTGACGTCAAAATCCTTCATTTTTTATATGAACTCGTTGTCTTCTGTCCGAAGGAAAAGATTAATAAGACGAGCAAGACCACTTCTTGTTTGTCCATACTCAACAAAACATCGTTTTGAACTTTCAACAACAGCCCTTTCGGTAGATTTGGATATAAAAGATAGGTTATAGACAGGTCTAAAGTTCTCAAAAACCACATTTAGGCCAGCTTTTTTTAAAAATGGCTTTAATAGAGCAGTTTTCCAGGCGTCTGGATCATGTCCTTTTTGCAAGGATGCTCTCGTGACAATATGTGTTAATTCATTAGAGCACTGTTTAACTAACCATGATGGAATCGCCGAATCGGATCCAATTCACAAGATGCATTTGACGACTGCATGATTATGTCATAAACCTCTTGATGCGAGGGAGGAGTAAACGATTCTAGCTTGACATCTGGTTTGCGATATTTAACCGGCTGTGGGTCAATGGCAGTGTCATCGATATCTTTTTTAATGATTTCAATTTTGCGGTAAAAATATTCACCAAACGTGTTAACAAGTTGACATATATCCTCAATACGGTGGCAGCCGTGATTCATCCCTCGGTGTCTTGCAAAGTGATGTCACAGCCTTAAACAATTTCTTTGAATCATTCGAGCATTCATCAATAAGGTTAGTATGCAGATCTGACTATAAGCACCTCGATAAACATTAAGTTTAGATTTCCTCATTTTCCTTTCCAGCTTCCTTCCTTCTGTTTTTAAGTGTTTTGCACTCGCATTGAACCACGGCACTCTACGTTTAGCGACAATTTTCTTCCGAATTGGTAACAATTAGTGACAATTTCTTCTTCTAATCATCTATGTTAGACCAGGAACTGTTCATATACAAATTTGACTGCACAATATCGGTCTTGAAGTTGTCAAGGTTAATCTTTTTCGTTTCACGGAGACATATTTCTTTAATAGAGGGGTTTGGATGAAATATAGACAAGTAACATTTTTCAAAGCAGTGATCTGACAAGAAGGTGCTGGTTTCCAGCGAGGAGTTGTTTATATCATTAGACCTTTTTTCTCCGCCGTTCAGTAGTGAGACTTTAAAGTTGGTTTTAAACATAACACCAGTACCACCTCCAGGTCGGTCAGTTCGTCGTGGAAATGACCTAAAAAAGTAACCCGGAGGGCAAAGTGAAGCAATGCTAACAGTGATCGCTTCGGGTCACTGCCTGTGCTGTCATTGATATTCGGCTATTCCTCAAATATTCTCTGCTAGTAATACCACAGTAATACGAATTGGAATAGGTTGACCATTTTCGTTTTGGTCACTTCGGGCCATTGACAGTACAGAATATTTCCCATCAGAGTCAGGGTCATAATGGAGATTTGGAATGGGCTTAGTACTAGGATTTGCATTGGAGGCGCTTTCAACAGTGTTTTTAATAACTTCATCGTCAAATTTATTATAACTCAGGGTCAAGTCATGATCTATTTCTTCATCTCCGATCTCTATCACAGTAGGAGTATCCTCCCTATTAAGTGTGTCTCCCCCATTACGACAGTCGTCTGACACAGTCCAGGTAGTTATCAGAGGTTTTTCGTCAGCATTCAACGGGCAAAAGGTTTTCATGAATTTCAGTGTTGACCGCCTGTATAGCTTCATCGCTCATAGGGCAAGCACAATCGGCCAGCTCTGCATTATATATATATATATATATATATATATATATATATATATATATATATATATATATATATATCATAAATCTCTTTAAACGGGCGCCTTCTTCCCTCGAAAAGTCAATGTACCTAGTTCATAGTTCCATGTAATAATTAGATCAGAGATCGAACTATTAAATTTCTTATACTTGCCACCCGATGATATCCAATTTCCAGATTGTTCTATTCCACATTTAGTGAAATACTTCAACATTTCGAAGGAGTCAGTCCATTTAATACGGTCTCCATGATAACTAAAACAATTCTCTTCTTTATAACGACGAATTTCATTCAAATTCCAGTCGGATAGATCATTGTGAACTAAATGTTAAGACGTTTTGAACCAGAGCTTAATTTACTGTCCGCCATGTTAGCAGTCATAGTCACCTATCATCAGACAGCAGCGTGAAAACCTACGCATGAAACTGAACATCGGTTTATAAGGGAATTTTGAAGGCGTAATTTTTGGACTTCGAATTCGAAGACCGAAAGAGAAGGATAATTTAAGAACCCTCAAGTAGCACTCGTTATAATTTGCTACTTGTGATAATTTCCTGTATTTATTAAATGTATACGAAAATTATTAGGACAAAGCCAATAATTCGTAATTTCCCTCGCCCTTGCCCTGCAACGCGGTTCCCGTTCTTGGCATTGCCCCTTTCCCCTAAACATTAACAATGTGCCTCTGTTGAAAGCTTAAACTTCTTTTTATCGTTGTTCCAGTCATGTCAACGATGCATGATTCGCTTCCTTCAGCTACAAACTTCCTCGAGGCAATTGACGAGCCGATCGCAAATTCCCTAAACGCAAGGAATTTTGGTGTGCTGGGCGATGGCATCACGGACGACTCTCGTGCGATCCAAACGTTTATCAACAATGCTTCGCTCGATCAGAAAATCGCTTTTTTTCCTTCTGGGGAATATATCATCAGTGAAAATATCTGGATCGATGGAAGTGTCAGCATTCAAGGCTCTTCGCGTGGAATAACCGTGTTGAAGACCCCACGGACGAAAATCCTTCAAATATACATTGGAAACAAAATGCACGGCTTGAGAGATCTCAGCATCACACATATATTCTTTGACGGGATCACGTTGTATTTCAGCAGTAAGAGATTCAAGCACAATTTTCACCTGGCGAATTGTCTGTTCTTCACCAGTCGTCAGCCATTGCTTCCGATTGAGAAAGCTAGCATCAGTTGGCAACGTGTCGCAAACGGTATCATAAGCAATGTGGTAATATTGCGTTCCAAGGAAACCCACGCGGTCGGCGTGTCCTTTTACAAGACGAAACACGTGCGAGTAGAAAGCTGTATCTTCGGTCTTGATTTCAACAACCTGACCTGGTTGGCTACCCAATATCATGGCATTGATACTTGGACCAGTTTGATCGAGAAGCTTCACTTCACTAAAGGGCACTATTAGGCCGTATTCTCTGGCACGAAAAGTCGCTTAGAAAACGATTTTCGTTGCCCCCCTTCGGGCACTACTTGAAAACACGATAGAAAATTAGGATAAATTATAGAAAGTCTAAATTCACTTGTTTTCACCTTCACAAACCTGCAGTTTTCGAGCATTTCATCTTCGAAACATCAGTGAATTTGCATGTTTTGCAATACACCGACGCCATTTTGATTCAGGAAATGTCGAGGATACTTGGTGTAATATACGACATATATAGCAGATTCAGCAGTTTTATACCGGTATTTAAATGAAGTTTCCTACATTTTTGCTGTGCAAGCAGGTTTCAACAAGGAAGCTTTGAGTGGAGTTTTACGAGGTTTTTCGCAAATTTTCATAGTTTTTCAAAACTGAATTAGTCAGAGAAGAATTGGACAACAATTAATCGGAAAACATCCGCCAATTTTGCATACACGCATCAAAATCATCCACGAGCGTTTTGTTTCTAGCCAAGTTATATAAAATAATTACTACACAATTCCTTTCCAGCATAACCTTTGTTTATATTAACTACTTTTATAATACACACGTTTTCTCAGCAAAACTATTAACAACATCTCAGTTTTTTGACAAAGTTAATTACCAACGCCTTTATCTTATCATCAATCCACTAAAAACGAATTTGTTGAGCGAAAACCCAGACATCTTTACGAAGTTGAAAAAGAACAAATTTCAAACATTTTCCTTATGAAAACGTGTGAGGACTTGTGAAAACTGCCAAGTTGGGCCCAAGTCTAAACTTGCTGAAGTATTGGAAAATGAATCTGGAAATCCAGAAGTCAATGTTTGTGCATTTAACAACAATGCACTGATTGTAGATGCTATGGCAGTTATTCAGTCGATGAAAGGAAAATGGAAAACATTTGGCGATGATGCTCTTTTAAAAACCTCAACACGCTAGCACGAAAGTATAATTCCAAATGATTAGATTGTTGCAGACAGGTATCCTTAGTTGAGCATAAAGAATGCAGAGAAACAACGAAGAGCTGAAGGAGTCCAGAAAGTTCAAATCTTCGGAAAAGATCAGAGTGTTCCAAAACAGTGGAAAAAGTGTTTAAGATGCGGTGAAAACCAGAAATCCCTCATATCTTTCTTATGTGAACACTGGAGGTCATGTAACTCCTCCCGGTGGTTTTCCATTTCAACTATGTACGTAACTGCTAAAGAAAGATGCTATGTTTTATATCCCGGTGATTCCCCGAACGATATTGTTACAAGTAATGAGGTGTTTTCGCTTCATAGCACCACGAAGAAGCAGACACTCGTTTAATTCTACATGCCAACCACGCAGCAGCAACGTACGATAAAGTTATTATCAAAGGCCCTGATACAGATGTTCTTATACCTGCGATTGCCATGCAACAACAGATGCAGAAAGAGATTTTCTTTTTGACTGGCACGGGAGATAGACGTCGTTGCGTATTTGTAGCAATTATCTCGAAATTCTTGGGCGTGGATGTTGCACTTTGTTTACCAGGCTTTCATGCTTTTACCGGTAATGGCATTAGCAATCAAGCAGCATCATGGTATCAGTGTTTAAGTGCAGAAGTCGATCTCCCATCACTGGTTGGCAATGGCTGGACGCTTGACGATAAAGAGCTGGAGATAACTTGGATGACACGCCCACCCGCTCCGCGATCTTTAATTGAGTGTCAGTTGAGTGCAAGTGCAAGACTGGATGCTCGACCATGCATGCGTTGTTCCTGCAAAAAGGCTGACTTAAAGTGCACCAACCTATGTTCGTGTGGTGATTGCCAGAATGCAGTAGTTGAAGATTGTAACGACGATGACAGCAGTTATGGCCTGGCTCAATCTGATGACGATGATGAACTTGAAGGATCAGGATCTAATCTGGATTTCGGAGATGACGTCGATGATGAATTGTGGTATTAGCTGTCCGATTAAAAGGGTTGAGTTCAACATTTTATTTGTGTTTTAAAATTATAAGGCGCTCGTAATCTCCCACGATGGTATTATTAAAAACGTATCAATATCAACCTTGGTATGCGTGTTCAATATTTTAACATGTACAGTAGTTGTACGTTGCAAATCACAAAACAAAGGGTATGCTGGAAAAGAATTGTGTAGTAATTATTACTCCGCCTGCGTATGCGCAGCGGAGTCTTAAAATGCCATGGTCTTTTTTCCTTTTCGTCGTTTTGGGCGACAGAAGTTGGCATTTCTACAGGTAACCCAAAACATTTTGACCGAGAAGCCCTGGGTTTCACGGTCCACGGATGAATTAGGTACATCAGTTGGCATGCAGGTGGAGTGAACGCCTTGAGCAGGCGTCTTGTTTTATATAAATTGACTAGAAACAAAACGCTCGTGGATGATTTTGATGCGTGTAAATAAAGTTGTTCTTATTTATTTGTAAATTCCAAGAGCAGAATGCTATAAAAAAATCGCAAATTGGCGGATGTTTTCCGATTAATTGTTGTCCAATTCTTTTCTGACTAATTTAGTTTTGAAAAACTATGAAAATTTGCGAAAAACCTCGTAAAACTCCACTCAAAGCTTCCTTGTTGAAACCTGCTTGCACAGCAAAAATTCAGGAAACTTCATTTAAATACCGGTATAAAACTGCTGAATCTGCTATATATGTCGTATATTACACCAAGTATCCTCGACATTTCCTGAATCAAAATGGCGTCGGTGTATTGCAAAACATGCAAATTCACTGATGTTTCGAAGATGAAATGCTCGAAAACTGCAGGTTTGTGAAGGTGAAAACAAGTGAATTTAGACTTTCTATAATTTATCCTAATTTTCTATCGTGTTTTCAAGTAGTGCCCGAAGGGGGGCAACGAAACTGAACGATAATCGGCCACAGAATACGGCCTATATAGAATCACCTCCGATCAGGGACACTTCCAAGCAGCTTTGTATGGAAACCGTGACGAAAACCTCACAGTCGAATCGAACATCTTCAACGGTAGCCCGTACAAGTCGGGTTTTATTGATCACGTGATTTACCTGAAAGGTTTCGACGGCCTGTACGTTTTGGGCAACTACGCCCGCGGATGGCCGAGCACTCCTGCAGGCGGTTTTAAAATGCGAAACGGGGAGAATTTGGTCGTGGCACGAAACTACCTCGTTGACACCGGGATCCTCTTGTACACCCATAAGGAGATCAATTTTGATCCACTTCACCAAGGCCTATCGAACGTTTATATCTATGACAATCACTTGGTTGAACTAACTAATATTGGGGAATGGGGGACAGGAATAAGCTACTACGAACCACATTGGTTTGGCAACGATACAAACGTCAACTTCTGTCACAACACATTCGAGATCAGCAATTTGAATCTCACGTCTCCACCAATAGGAATTCACATCTCTAACGGTGACAAGGAGGAGCATCACGTGTTCAAAGATAACGTATATTTTGGTACAAAAATTCCGGTAAAGTTGTTCGCCAGGGATGGTGCAGAATACGAAGATGGCACATGTGACCAAAGGATGGTGTCAGGGTACCAAGGCATCCCAATTCCCGACTTGGTTATTCCACCATATTGTAACCGAAGTGCTTGTAATATCGTCGCATTGGCTGGATTTGACGACTAGTATGAAGTACACACAAAATTACGAACTTTACACATATTATTAGATTTTAGGAATAATTTTATAGAGGCAGTTTGCAGGACTTTATTGTGTTAAAGTAGAACAATTGTTTTGTGGACAAAATGATGTTGGGCACCGATTTTTTCAAACATTTATCATGTACTTATATGCGTTTTCTAAGGAAATTGGTCTGGTAGAATTCGTCTACATGGACCCCCCTTCGCTCTAACTGGGGCCAGTCGTATAGATCTCTTAACTACATTTTGGATAGTCAAATCGCAGTTAAGTAAAAAATACATTGACCAACTGTTGTCACTACAATTCTGTATAACTTTTTATACTCTACTCATCTAAATTCAAATCCTTCCCTTTGCATTCTGGATTCCTTATTTTGAAATCCAGATTTCATGCCTTCAATTCCTGATCCTCGTCCTTGGATATTAGTTACTTTTACCTATTTTGGATTCCTTTCCATCTAATCCGAAGCTCGTAAACCTTTTCCTTGAATTTTGGATTCCCTTCCTCGGATTCTAGATTTCTCTCTTTTGAATCTTGATTCGGTACTTTAACTTTCCTTAAACTCCGAATTCGCATGATTGAAGATTTTTTCAATATCAACCACAAACATATTGTTAAACAATACAAACTCTAATATAGCACACGCACACACACACGTATTGTAAGTGCACTTATATTATAGGTTTAAAGTTGATTAAAATATGTCCATTTATATATACAAAATATACAACAAATTGCTTAAAAAATAACGGCCGATATAGGTGAAAATAAAATAAGCATGCAAATAGCGCCATAATACTGGCAGTTCCGTAGTCATCACGGCCTTCCTTGCCCATTTCATCTGTGCTCGGCCTTTGTTTTGATAGCCTGGCCACTAATAAAATTGGATACGGGTACCAATTTTAGCTATGCCGTGCCAATAAGTCGAGTGTGGTCTAGTTGAAACGGGGCTTTAAAGTGCCTATACCATAGTTGCGAATTTTGGATAGATCAAAGGTTTAAGGTATTTTTAGCAATACATTTTGTTATTGAAAAATTTTGTCTTGATGGGTTTTTTATAGCCTTTAAAATTACCGGACATGACGTCAAATCGGCAATTGCAAATTAGTCTTCTTTTGTTTTCTTTTAAGAAAACTAATTTGTTTCTGGACCCGTTCTTTGGCCGATCTTTGACCGTTTACATGGACCGTTATTTTGAAGCTTGAGGTTCTAACTGATGTCAAAAATAGAAATATTTGTCTAGGATCACCGTCTGCGTTTTGTCGATGTTGGAGTAGAATGGGGTGACGGGGGCTGGGAGGTGTTAGCTCCCCTGGTTCTCTTTCGTTTAGGTGAGGTGTCGGGTGTTGTGGGGCGAGAACCCGAGGTGGCTACTGACTGTAGCTTAAGTTTGAGACCGGAGCTTGATCCAGGAGGCTCTGGTGAAGGGAAAACGGAATTAGTCATTTTCACGCTATACGAACAGGCTAAATGACCCCTTAGGACTGACGAGTTGTGTGTCAAATAACAGGCAACAAAATGTTGCTATTCGTACACCAAATTGTTTTTATTAGTATGATAAAATTACTCGATGCCGATTGGCGGAGAGGAAAACAATTATTTCATCAATTGTACATACAGCACAATTAATGATTTTGTTAAAATAAACAAAATGGCGGCAAGATATTTCCATACAAACTAAACAGCCTTGAAGGAAGTAAAAAGGCTAGAAAGGTAAACGAAAATACTGCTAAAAGCACAAAATAATGGATAAAAGTCTGCCAGAACTGCGCTTTGGCAAAAAACTATGCTTATCGCGCTAATAATAACAGACAACGGCTCATCCAATTTTGGCAAAATTTTCTAACATCACTCGTTATTGTTTGAGATATGGGCATTTTGGTACTGGTTTAATTTCTGTCATTGCTATATTTGGGTGCCAGTGTAGCTTTAAAACTGTTGATTAAAATAATTTAAATTTTGGGTTGGATTGTTTTTACTGATCCATAAAATGGTCCAGTATGCACGTGTAGATAATTGCTTTTAAAATATTGCATGCAGTCAACTGTAGCAATTATGAGAAAATTATTTCTATTTTTTGTACCCCTCTGCTAAACAATCTTATGGTAAATGTGGATTTTATTAGTATACAAACCATCATCGTTATAGTCAGAACCAGCCTGTCCTGGTGGCTCAAATATTTCATCCGGTAGATTAAAATCATTCTCTTCATTTGGAAATGGGATATTTTCAGTCTCATTCTAAACAATCAACCACAATGAACTCATTAGGTGGCATTACATCTTCAAACACACAAGAATTGACAATTAAAGTTAAATCAAATATGCACACAGAAACACGGTTTTTCCAAATTATAAGACTGCAGCCCAGGAAAAATCCGCAAAAGACAGAATTTTCTGTGCCTCCTTCAAGCAATTTTATATAAAAATTGCATAGTTTTATATCAAGAGGGCATTCTTGGTTGATCAATAATAATTAATTACCCAAAATACATTTTGACTTGTACCTTAAAAAACTATACTCTTAGTTGTGAACAACATCTATGTCAGGCATTTCTGCTTCCCAATAGTTTGCAAACAAATTCTAACCAGGAGCTTGAACTTGTGAAAATTACAACTATAGATTCCTTGACTGAAATCTGATTTGTGGCCCTGAAATTTGTTATACTTGTACTAAGGTTTTAAAACTTTTAGTTTGCTGACATAAAACACCCTATTTGTATACAACTTTTGTGATGGCAACTAAGATCTCATTTTGTTTAGAATATGCTTGTCAGTGATATATACAGTTTTTGATAAACTTACTTACCAAAGCAGGAAGATTGTATAGATCTTTCAAATGCTGCCACAGTTGTTCAGAGGAAATATTTCTTTTACCAGTAGATGTTGTGAACTTATCATGAATACAAGCCATATGAAAATGCCTGTTTATACCTAAAAAGTATTAACCCATTAAGATTATAACATGTACATGTAACATGAAGATGCACAAACCTTCACATTTCATGCCATCTATGCTTTAGTAATTCACCAATGGAGTTTTGTGGCACTCACTTCATCTCACAATATAAATAATAGTGGGCACTCTAGCTTTGCAGAAATTGAAGCTGTGGATCGTTCTGTAATTTAGGCCAAAATTCTAAACAACTCAGCTACCTTGGCCATTTGCTATTATATGCACTAGCGGCAAATGAGTTCTAGGCCTATCCTTTACCATGTAATAATGCACAAAACAAGGGCAAAATTACTAAAAAAAGATAAGGCTATTGAGTTAACAATAAGGCCTAATGCACAAAATCAAGGGGTTTCTTTTCACAATTCATTATTTTGACGGACAGTGGAAAAAACCTATGCCTATATTTTAGAATGGCTTTCACAAATTGCAGTGATTACATAACAGTAAATTAACTGCTAGGTCAATTGAACTATTGCAGGCTTGGGATGGAAGGGTACTAAATTTGAAGTCTAGTATCTGTAACAAACAAGTCTTTGATGCAATAAAACACACAGCGAAGCTTTTATTAATGGAAAAAACATGCAAATTCGACCTCTAGGCCTGCTTACCATAAGATCAGCCTCATAACCATTTGCCAACAATAACTAAGAAATAGGCACACTACAGAATCCTAATATAGATCAGTGACTAAGTGCAAGAAGTGATCTAGAATAGTAACTAAATGGAATATTCTATTTCTTCCAACAAAGTTGGAGGCTTTTTTAAGATGGCATTTAATCGATTTTAGATCAATTTGCTCAATCAGAATAAAGTTAATACGAGCGATTTCAAATGTAAACAAAACATATTTTTATACATTTTTTAGAAAATCGATCATGAAATATTTGAAGCTATCTCATAAACAGAGTTTGGAGAAAAGCTAATTGGTCACCAAAGCTTAAAATCGTAAGTACAAAAAAAGAAATATTTAAAAATTTATATACAAAACGTCAAAACCTCGATATAAACAAATTCAATATTAGTCATTGTTCAAGTATGTACGCTTCATAAAACATGAATGTTTGTACAATAAGGAAGCCAAACATTCGGAACGACAAAATATACTCGACAAATGTATCGCAATTATATTTACCTATCGGTTTGTGTCCTTTCATTGAATGAAAAAGACTAACTTCTAATTCGGGCGTCCAAACGAGAACTTCGTTGCCCTCCATTTTGTTCTGTATGGAAATACTTCATGTTGTGCGGATTAAAGGATCGGTATTTCCACTTGTAATTCCTAAACGTCATTTTCATGCTTACTGACGCGTTTCGCGAGCCAGGACCCTGGCTTGTGTGATTGTTATTTCTAGCCTCTTGATCAGTGGCGGGAATTCTGTTCAGTTCAACACATTACGGGAAATAATATCAAACGTGTTTTTGAGAAAGAAATGAAATGTGACCAAGCGAACTTCGCTCTACTGAGAAACTTCATTAAAACGGGCAAAGAGTAAGGAAATTTAGCCTTACGTGTTTTCTGTATTAGGCGCGATAAATCGACACTATTTCTGTAATATACACAAATGTACAAAACAAATTTCGCATTATACACAAGTTGCACTTTCCCATTTTATATCTTGTCATGATCGATCGATTTCTGGTCCTTTCCTCCTCCCCCCCACTTTTAAACAGGGTCCGCGCGGTCCCTGGTAGCTAAAAACCACAAACGAAACTATCAGTCAATTCCACGTCGGTGATCGACCACGTTATGGGCACGTGTGACCTTGATTCACGTGATAGCACAGCCACGATGCCCAAGACATTAAAATATTTTAATTGTGTAATGTAAACAGAGGCGCTGCCGTGAGAAAACAAAATTAGTCCCCTGAATATTTTGTTCTAAAACAAGCGCAGGAAATCCGTACGTCGGTTATCTTTGTGTCTGTTGGGAACATTTTTTGCAGATTTGACTCAAAACGTTACATTAAACCAATTCATCCCATTGTCCACACGCCCTACGTCAGATGGCTTAGATATGACGTTGGTGAATGTATAGACACCTAATTTATAAAGAAAACAAATTACATACGCAATGGGTAACGATGACGTCAAATTCTGAAGAAGCAAGGTCATGTAGTCAAGGTTGTCAATGTAAAAAGAGTGTTTTTCTAAGTTCGGATTACAAGTGGCTTGGTCAGTTTGTGGAGATTTCACCCATATATAGATTAGTTTAATGTTAATCGTATTCCATTCAAAAGTACACTGATTAGGCATTTTAGCTAATCCCGTCATTAAATGTATCTATTATAACTTTGACCACTTTCAACCGGCCTCTGAAGGCCACGTTCATGCACAACGCAAGTCGTTCCTGCCACTTGCAACGCAATTTCCGGCAGAAAGCTCACGCTTCATGCACGAAGTAAGCAAACGTGCCCACAGCCGAAGTTTATGCTTCAGTATCTAATGATAAAGTTTATGCTTTATCTAATGATAAAGTTTGTGCTTTATCAAATGATACAGCTTATCAAATGATAGAAAGAACGTAGACCATTTTGCTGTTCTGATTATATATAATTAGCTACGATTTCATGAAATACGATTTTTAAATGTTCCGCGCCAGTCAACTCAGTACAAGTTGTTTTGCAGATTAAAATAATGGAAGCCTGCAAAATTTATTCATTTAAACTTTAAAAGGGATTGTTCACACTTGCATTAATCGCTGCGATTTTATGGTTGATCACCTTCTTTTGATAGATGTGAATGAGTGCATGCCGGAGAGATATTTTTATAAGCTTTTACTTAACTTTTATAGTGTATACGCGGTGCAATTTTTTTGCAACTTGCAATTAGTGAAGAGTCTTCAGGGAGTCCGCAAGTAAGGGCATGCAAGTTACTGCATAAGAGCATTCAGACTAGTCGTTCTTTAATCTTTATGTTCTTTTTATCCGTCAAAAGACGGATGTCGCACGAATAAGGAGCATGCAGGGCAGTACTGCAAAAATGCAGCTCTCAAAGTCGCTATACAACCACAACCTACGCTTAGGTAAAAGACTCTGGGTACGAGGTTGATACAACCATCGTAAAGAGGCAAGATCCTGAACCATGCACAAGAATCAAGAATCGGCAGAGATACCACCTCATGAAGCAGTTAACTCAATTCGAAAACTACAGAAAACTACCTACACCCGAGAGAGAATCCGAGAGAGAATCTTGATTTGCGTGGGGAGTTTCTCGGTAAAACTGCCTGCACACCAGGACACAAGAGTCAAGAGTAACCTGTCAAGATGACTACTTATTAAATCTCATGTTCAGCCCGAGCCCGAGGAGTTGGTTGCAGGGGGGTTTGTTTTTGCTGATATAGAATACCCAAGAAAATGCGTGTTTTTCAACGCCGTTCCTTCACATTTGAGTGATTAACTCATTCCGCCCTTCGGGTGGTCCTGTGCCTTTCAAAACATACGCACGACAATTACTTCCTTTTCGCTTGAAACTGACTGATAAGTGTCGATGTGTAAATCAAAGTGTTTTTCTAAGCCCATTTAATCGAATCAACGTGTGATTTCATGACCGCGTAGCCGTGACGCAAGTCCCGTAGCGACGAACACAAACGGAATTAAATGCCTGTTATATGGCGTAATATATGGCATTTATTTCAAAGCTCCGACGACTGACGGCTCCCCGTGAGAAGAATTAAACACACTGTACTCGCGATTAGGAGGGTATTAGCAAATACGTTTTCTCCTCAAGTCAACGCAGAATCTCACGATACTGGAAAACACATCTTATTTACTAAAGGTATTTATTTATACATAATATCTTTGATAACTCTTAATTTTAAGTATACGAAGTAGTTATGGTTAATAATTATCTATACCTATGCTAATCAAGGTCTAAATTATACGTATTTCTGTATATATTGCTACATATGAAAAGGGGAGACCATTCCGTATTACCAATAATTCCTAAAGTGCCTGATCATGTCTATATATCAGTTCAATCATGGGCTATCTAGTGTCGTCAGTATACCGATGAATGCATATACCACCCAACGAAGTTGTCTGGACTGGCGCATGCTCTCGCCTCCAGACACATTGCCTATAGCAACATGTAAGCATTGAATATATTGAATATAAACATAAGTCATTACACATGCTTCCTCGCCGTATCTCGCACTTTAGTTTGCCTGTTCCGGAATCATAATCTTATATGCTTGTCTATTAACTGACTTTTCATATTTCCTGTGTAGATAACTTTGTGCGCTCGTCTAAATTAAGATACTTCAACAGTATGGTTGATTAATGAACGCAAAAGCATGCGATACTATAGTTAAAATCGATTTAAAACTCGAGAAAGCATAAATAACTTCTCATGAAATGTGATATAACAATTGCTTCAAAAAGAAAATGTCTCGAAGCTTCGACCTCAGAGCCTTCCTCGGTGAGAAGTCTGTTTTACTTTTAGGCGTTTTTTTACCATGCACGTTTGATGATAGGTCGAATAGAAATCTGTCGATAAAAATCTGATGTTTGCCAAAACTTGTTAAAAAATAGTTAACCTCTATATCCCTGGATAATTTTTCCATATTCCACAGTTGAATAAATCGAGCTAATGGAGACTAAAGTAGCGATGAAGTGCCCCCCATTAAAAGTTGATCAAACATTTAACTGCATGAGTTGGGGAGGATAGGCTAGCTGGACACGTATACCTTCGGTTCCATCAAAATCAATATCCCATCGATTCACACCAACTGTGCTGTCTGACATTAATATCAACAAAAACATGTAGTGCATGCCTGTCCGTCAAAATGTCAATAAATTCGTGAGATCATGCATGCATTCTTTCCAACTATTCAAGTTACTTTCTATAGCATAAGTGTTTGCCTTTAACTGCATGGACTTGACTTGCTTTACAAATCACCTCATAATGAGCAAGCAAGCAGGTCAGCTTTTTATCAACAAATTGGATCAGATCAGGTATGAAATTTGGGGAGAAATTGATTTATTTAAAGTTAGTGTAATCTTGAAAAATAAAAGAGAAATACAGCCTTATACGTTCGTCCAGTAAACTGCGTGGGCAACCTCCGGATAAATAAAAACATCTTTTCAAAAGTTCACTATATATAGATAGATATATGAACTATATTTCAATACATTGGTTTTTTATATATCATGAGTTTTTTCAAACTGTTACTGAAACCATGATAAAACCATTTTCAATTGACGGTATTTCTAAAGTTTTGTTTCATGCATGGCTCTAGACCACCTAATGCGTCTTTCTTAAACATTATTTCAGGAAAGACGTTTGTTATTAGTTCATAAACATCAAATATTGTTCATTAAAACCTGTTTTTATTTAGCTTATATATGGCCACCAAAGTGCATGAAAACGCCAAATTTCACATTCACGATTCACCTTTCCCAATAATAGTAAATGCAGTTATAGGACCTATAAAGATCCTTTCATGCAGCTTTCCCGCTCTGAAAAAACGTATGTTACAATACTCGGAGCAATTTGGTGGCGAAGCCCAAGGTATAGTTCTGGCCTTGAATATACTCATCAATTTATAAACTCGAAAACCTCATGGTACATGTATTTCTCGCGATACCGCAACGTACGCTGCATGTTAGTTGATTTTACAGTGGCATTTGATGGAAAATACATACATATTATGGAGGAATTTTATTCATTTTTTTCGTCGCTGCATGTACATATTTTCAGCACCATCTGCTTCTTAGTAAACATAACTCAATTAGATAGTCTAGGTCTATGGAATGTTAAATTGCGATATTTTTTCAGTTTACCGATTAAATGAAAACAGCGTCGCAACTCGCAAATGCAAAACATACAACCGTAGCGCCATAATTTAAGAGATTCACGATAGTCCTACCAAAATTGTAAACCAGGGTTACTTTAAGGCGGTTTCTTGACTTGGCCGAAGTTTCGATCAAACGAAATTTTTTCGCTTGATTTTCTTTTCAATTGTGAGTTGCTGGTCACGGCCAAGGGAATCTGGTACGGTCAAATTCTCACAATAAGGAAGAAATTCAGGCGAAAAAAATTCAACCTAGTGGAAATGGAAATGGAGATGTGCATCCGAAAATCCGAAACCTCGTAATTTCCCAAGCAATGTACTTGCTTTCTTGGCTCATATTCAGTACATCAAAACTGGACTTTATCTTTGCTAGGCTAAGAACTTATGTTCTTAAACACAAAAGTTTTATGACCCCTTTGAATTTGAAAAAACTTGTAATGGTCATGA